ATTGGGGTGGGAGTGTCGGAGACAGTGCGATTGGCACAGGACAGAGTGGAGTTTAGGGCTGTTGTACATAGGGTCGCTATGAGTCGGAGGCGACTCGACGGCACATAACAAGAACAACAACAACATAGAAATTACAGATGCACAGAGTAAATAACTGCTGAATCGTAGAGTGAATAGAAGCTCAACACTGGTTAGCATTATTTTAATTCAAAATTCTAAATTATTAATCATTTCTTGGTGTTGATGTAAATCAAGAGACAAACCAAGTAATTCATTCTATAGTTACTCTGGAAAAAAATGTTGTCTCAGTTTTACAGAAACTTTGCAAACGATGTGATGTATAGGTAGCTTAGTGACAAATAGTTGCAGTTAGAATCCGCCAGCTGCTCTAAGGAAGAAAGATGGACAATCTCCTCCAATGTGATTAAAACAATGTGCTTCTGAAAACAAGCTGGAGGGTCAGTTATGAGTTGGTTCCAACTTGACAGTACAAAACAACAACAAAACCAGCAAGCCTTCACATAAAAAGTATTAAGTGGGAGATCAAAGGAAGCAATGAAAAAGAAACCATAAGGAAAAATACTTATTAACTAGTCTTACCATTTGGCTAACACTGCTAGATTATGAAGTTTACTTATACCACCTGTTCTTCAAAGTGTGTCGCTGGGAAAAAATTGCCCATTCCTTAGAGGTCCCTTCAATTATATCTATCATGTTGGCATCACTTGGCTTGAATTTCTTTCAAATTTATTCCTAGTTCTACTGATCAGAAAAAATGAAACCAAAACAAATCATGGGTTAGATTTCTTGGCCTCAACTGACCACACACACACACAAAATAAGGTCAGTACTGCAGCTGATGTTTCCTTTTCAAACGGACATATAGGAAAAGCAAAGGAAAAGGCATTACTCTTCCAATGTAAAAACCTTTACATAGTCATAGTTGTCAGAATAGTCGTTAGTAGCACAGCAACAGATACACAAACTAATGGAAAAGAACTGAGAACTCAGTATGTTAGGTTATTTATCAAAGGCTTGCTCATCTCTGGTGGTTCAAATCTACCAGTGACTTAAAGGGAGTAAGAGAAACAGTTTCCTAATAAGATTTGTAGCCTTGGAAAACTTATGGAGGGTTGCTAGGAGTTGAAACTGATTCAGTGGCAGCAGTAGGTTGAGTTGATTGACAGCTGATCCTCTATAAAAGGATGAAATCCATCAAATGGAGTGAAAATAGCCTCTTTAACAAATAGTGCTGAGAAAACTGGGTATCTATATGCAGAAAACAAACCAAAAAAGTACATATTTTGCACCATGTAAAAATAATTAACTCATGGACCCAATCTATCAGTTGCCCCACAGAAAAAGAATGGGCAATGTCTTCCCATGGGATTTATCACCTCTGAAAACTTGCTGGAGGGTCAGCTATAGGTCGATTCCCATTCGACAGCACAAAATAACAACATGGATCAACATGGTTTTTGTAAAACCCAAAACTATGATGATTATCAAAGAAAAAGTAGGACCAAACATGGTAGCATTAACCTTTGATACAGAATATCAAATATAACAAAAAATGCACTATTAGTAGAGGATAAACTAGATCTCTCTCATTTGTATTGAGTCAGAACGAACTCAGGTCACCCAACATCGGGTTTCTAAAGCTGGAAATTACGTGGAAGGAGACTGTCCATCTTTCTTTTTTTCTTCCCTATGTTCCCCCATTCACAATATAAACCAAGCACAAAACTTGGGTTGAAGAATATATGGGGCATTCCACTCTGCTTCCAGTGTAAGAACACAGCCTGTGATAAGTATAAGGAGGCCTGTTTATCTTTCTTCTGTGGAGTCACTGGTGGGTTTATACTGTCAGAGTTGAGGGTGAGCGGTGACATCATCTATGAACTATGCCGCCGGAATTCTCTATAAATTATAGTGACCCAATGGAGTGGGGTAGGACTACTACATTAAGTTTCTGAGGTTACTGATGGAAGTACTTTGTCCATTTTTCTCCTCCACAGCTGCTGATGGATTTGAACT